AAAAGAAAAAGGAATGAAAGGATAAATAAAGCATACCCATTAAAAACAACATAATTATGCTTTGAAGATTGTACATCATCCCAATCATAAAAGATATCACCAACAGATTTTAAAGTTAATACATTACGTCTCGCGGCAGTAGAACCATGACAACCAGATTGAGTAGGATTTAAAGAAGTATTTGGAGCCATAGGATCATTATTACTGAGAGCTACGCAGGGGAAATAATTAATAACGTTTCCATTGCTATCAGCAGGTTGAATGGGAATAAATAGGCCTTTGCAATGAATGTTAGCACCCTGGAACAGGAACGATAAATCATTACCACCAGCAGTTCTTTCAAAATTAGTAGAATTTATCATGCCTGGAATTGGAGGATGAGTAAACCCTTTAATATTAAAAACTCTCCCAAGTATAGAAATTTGACTATTAGTAATTGCACCAATCCGCTGGGGAGGAGCGCCACAAAAAACTTGATCAAAACCAAAAGTCAAGAAACCGACAGCTATACAAAGAGTGAATATAATCACAACAAGAGCGACCTTTTCACGCCAAGCATGTTGAGCCAACACATCATTCATTCCTGAAACATAAAATATAAACTAGGATTAACTAATATTTTTAACTAAGATTTAATCAAGTTCGAAATATTTAATTAAATTTGAAATATTTAACTAAATTTAAATATTTAATTAAATTTAAAATATTTAATTAAATTTAAAATATTTAATTAAATTTGAAATATTTAACTAAATTTGAAATATTTAACTAAATTTGAAATAAAAGAAAGACATACCGCAACAAGACAAAAATGGAGGAGCCCAACAGGTAATACATCTTGAAAACATTACCCAGGCAGAAGGACATTGACATTTTTTCTTTTTTTGAACTATTGGAGATGACCTCCGCTCACCCGAAGGACGACCTTGATTTTTTCGATCATCATTATCTCTACGATTATTATCAAAAGTACTCCATCTATTATTTAAATTTTCAATATTATTTTGATCAATTCTTTGATCATTCATGACACGACGATTACGCGCACGTTCAGGTTTTACAAGAGATTTTTGACGACGAGTTTGAGCACCTGAAGAGGTATTCTCAGGACCAGGACGAGAACCTGAAGGATAAGAATCAGGAGGACGAGGACGATAACTCTTTGAATGCGTTAATGGGCTTTTTTGATCAGCATCGTGATAAGACGCGTCATTAACAGAAGTCACATTATGATTCCCTCTGACATTTTGACCAAGTGTGTTATATGGTGGTTGTCCTTTCTCATCTTTTTTTTTTTTTTTTTTTTTTTTAAAAAAAAAAAAAAACATAATAATAATATTATTATTAAATAATATTGCATTAATAAATATAAGGTTGAGATTTTTATAATTCGGCGATATATTACATATGATGTAGGTCTTATTATCTTATTATTTAGGTTTTATGGTATAAGTTTTATGATATAATATAGGTCTTAGGGATAATGAGATAATTGTGTATCATACATATTGAGAAATTCAATCAGGATAATAATTATATAATGAAATTAGAAATATAGTTTACCTGTAGCATCAGGAGTTTCATCAGAAGTTACAGAAGTCCGTGCCATGCTACGTTTATAAAAGCTGGTATGATTATCACCAGTTGTGGGTCGAAAAGCGGTTTGAAAGAAATCCGAATTTTCTTCATTTTCATTTTCATTATCCTCATCCTCTACATCATTGTTAATGACCTGACCATCCTGTTCAACAAAACTTTGAGGAGACTGATTTGAATCTTGAGGTGATGTAGTAATATTTTGAGCGTATTGAGCATATTGTTGATATTGACGTGAACGATTATCACTCCGCCGCCTTTGTGGTTGATCTCTTCGTTCGGAAGTCCTAGATAATCCATCATCATTATAGAATTTATTAGGAGTATATTCATCCGTATTGTCACCATTTTTTCCAACTACATTTTGATTTCGA